TACATAAGGCAACATGGCTGTCACCTGATTAAAACACAAGATCTCAAATTGATCACGTTGTGATAGACGGAAGGCATGCTTCCAGTGTCTTGGATGTACGTACTATCCGTGGAGCCAACATCGACTCGGATCATTACCTTGTTGCAGCCAAGATCCGCACACGTTTATGTGCGATGAAAAAGGTACGTGAACAAGCACAGCGAAAGCTAGACGTCGAAAAGCTGCAATCACAACAGACAGCTAATGACTTCGCTACTCGACTCTCCCAATATCTAGAAAACTCATCTGAAGAAGCCGATATATGCGCGCAATGGAACCACATCTCTAACTCTATGCGTACCGCTGCAGAAGAGGTGATCGGCTATCACCGTATACAAAGAAACAGCTGGTACGACCAAGAGTGTCGCAAGAAAGACGCAGCATATCAAGCCACCCTGCGGTCAGTTGCGACGCGCGCTGTTAAAGAGCGATATCGGCAAAAGAGAAGGAAAGAGAAACGTCTTTTCAGGCGAAAAAAGAAGGAAACAGAAAGACGTGAGTACGAAGAGCTTGAGAAGCTGGGCGACAGGGATATGGCTCGAAATTCTATCAAAAAATTAAAAGCCTGACAAATGGTTATAAACCCGGAGCTAATTCCTGCAAAGATGAAAACGGTAATCTGGTGATAGATGTCCAAAGCATGCTTAATATTTGGAGGGATCACTTCTCGAAACTACTAAATGGCGGTAGTAGCAATGTGACTGAAAGCGAAGATGATCCCGAATTTTCAATCGTTGACGATGAAATAATCGTCCCGCCTCCCGATCATAATGAATACAATCTGAGAACTCAAGAAAAACAAATCGACACACACCACCTATTTGTCGACTTCAAAGCTGCTTTTGACACCACGACTAGAAGCACACTCTATGCCGCTATGTTTGAATTAGGTATCCCAGCAAAACTTATACGGCTATGTAAGCTCCTTTAGAATTGGAAAGATCCTCTCCAAGCCGTTTGATACCAAATGAGATTTCAGACAGGGTGACTCCTTGTCGTGTGACTACTTTAACCTAATGTTGGAAACGATAATTCGAGCAGCAGATTTAAACCGTACTGGCACAATATTCTACAAAAGTGTAATGCTGCTTGCATATGCCGACGATATTGATATCATTGGTCTGAACATCCGCGTCGTCAGTGCGGCATTTTCCAACTTAGAAAAACAAGCAAAGCAAATGGGTTTTGTGGTAAATGAAAACAAAACAAAGTACTTTCTGTCAACAAACAAATCTCCTGAGCGTCTTGGGATCTACGTCACTGTTGACAATTATAAGTTCGAAGTTGTGAAACATTTTGTTTATTTAGGAACCAGCTTAAACAACAAGAATGACGTCAGCCTTGAGATTCAACGAAGAATCACTCTTGCCAACAAATATTACTAAGGCTAAGTAAGCAATTGAGAAATAAAACCCTCTCTCGACAAAGAAAAATCACACTCTACAAATCTCTTATGCCTGTCTTGCTGTATGGTGCAGAAGCTTGGACAATTACCAACGGTGATGAGAAGGCGTTAGGAGCATTCGAGAGAAAAATTCTTCGGAAGAACTATGGTCCCATACGCGTTGGCAACGAGTATCGAATTAGATTGAACGATGAGCTGTATGAGCTATACCGCGATATTAACATAGTTAAGCGCATAAAAATTCAGCGGCTACGCTGGCTTGGTCATGTCGTGCGAATGGAAGAAAGTGCTCCGGCTAGAAAGGTATTTGATTCGATACCCGCAGGTGGAAAACGCGGTAGAGGACGTCCGCATCTTCGGTGGATGGACCAGGTGATCAACGATTTGGGGGCGCTCGGTAATACCAACTGCGTCAGAAGGCAACTAATCGGGCTGACTGGCGGAGGCTACTCGACGCGGGCAAGGACGACACACGTCTGTAATGGCCAACTAAGTAAGTAATAAAAACTTTTGTTGTTGCAGTGCACTACTGCACTACTACTAACGGATGTTCAAAATCAATTTAATATAATTCATTAAAAAGAAGCTTAGGTAAATATGACACAGAACGTTCAATTTCAATATTCTTCCAATGTAAATTTGATGCCACTTTTTATACAAACCTATGATTACCTTATTTCATTAATATCACTGCTGATACCCATAAACAGTTCCCTAATATAATCAATGTACGATGAAAAAAGGACGACATCGACTTTGGTTGCATAAACCAGTGCGGCAGCAAATGTAGAAATACAAAATAAAAGCTTTTTACGATATGCCTTGCAACGGGCATAAACTAACTTCTATCTTGAAGAGGAAAGTACAAAGGAATAAGTTAGCATTTAGTTCTATAGTTGTGGATATGAATTCTTAAGTTCCATGTCATGCTTTCATCTCAAGTAGATTGGACTATTTGCTATCGGTAGAGCCTGTTCTGATATAAGTTTTCAGAAGTACAATTTTCATGTTGTTGGAAAGTTTTCAATATTATGTCATCTCTTTCAATTAAGAACGTTAGTGTACGTAAAATATCAACAAATCGGGTGATGGCAGTGAGATATCTCTAGTTTAGGCTTGTCGTGCACACAATAACGAGCATGAAAGACTTAATGCCTCTAATCAATTTTTTTTTCTGCTAGTTAGACAGAAACACTGCCACTGCCACATATCATGTGACAGACGAACAGCAACTGGTTAAATCTCATCACAACAATTAGATTCATAAAAACATGATCTAAATATTCCAAAACTAGAACTTGAGACATGATGTAAACACATAAAATAATGTCGATTCCCTGCTGGCAGATCCAAGTTTCCAAGTTTATTGTTATGCAAATGAATGAAAAACATAACTTGATGATAATGACAGCACTTTCCTGAGATGTAGTACCAGTTTTCCTAATAGTTTCAAAATATTATTTATTTATCGTGAATTCTACTCGTATATTTTATTATCTCAATACTATAAATGCAAATATAATTGTTTTCATTGCTTAAAACTATAAAATGTTTTCTCACTAAAATTTTAGGTTACTTTTTTTTTTATTATTTATTATTGTAATAACAATATATTATATAATATTATAGTATTAAAATATATAGAAATTTTAGTTTTAATTAAGTAATTTCTTTATTTATAAGTTTTTCTATCGATCGCACGCCATCTGTTTCTAATGTTATCAGTTTTTGATCTGTTATATGGCTACGCTCCTGGTATTTCCTACTCAATCCCAAATGTATACTAAGTCAATAAATATAACTAATTGAAATCAGAACCTTCTATTCTTGAAAAGTTAACAAAGAACTTTACATATGTTGAGATTTACTTCTTAAAAAACATCTTGAAATTAAATAAATTCTTAGAAAATTTTGTGATAATTATCGCACCTTTGACTTTCTCCTTATATTGTGGTAGTTTTTACATTTTCATTACATTGAAGAATTTTCCATTGTTAAGACTTCTTAAAAGAAAACTGTGCTTTCAGCAAATATTTCATTTTCATATTAGTTCTCATATCAGATTTAAGTGAAACTTTCCACACATAAAACAATGCATTTAAATGAGCTCCCTTAAATTTAATAAGCATAAACGGTTTGATGATGTTTATCTGACAAATTTGCGCACAGAACACAATTTGACAGATGTCATTCTACTTTATCATGAAATTCCTACTTATAAATTAAATTGCTTACATATACGAAAAATCCATTAAAATTCCGAGCATATCGTTGCACTATATATGCGAGGACTTGTATGCGAGGACTAAATGGATGGAATAGCTGCGAGTGTGGATGGTGGATGCAGTGTTTGCTGTACGTCAATTTTGGCTTATGTGCGTTTTGACTTTTAGATAAAACTCCAAGGTTACGATATTTGGCATCGCAGAGGAGCTTAAATATTTTGCGAACGTGTATCTTCAACCTTAATTGGGAGCAATACCAACAAATTTAACCAAATACTTTTAGAATTTTTTGTTTTGTGGCTTTCTATTCTGCTGTGGTCTTTTTGTCATTGCAAATATACACATTTAATGGAGTATTTGTCTTATACCACTATGAGGAGTACGGGAGAATGATTTCTGAAATTTGATATTTTTGTTGATAGTCGCAAACGCTGGGATGCATTTGCTTGGAAAAACTTAAATAGAAAATATTGAATTTCACTACATTTTAGTAAATTTTGAGACGAATAGTGTTTCAACTGTTTTCTAGTTTTTACTTTAATACTGAATTAATAGTTTAAATGTTATGTTTAATATTGGTACTAATATTAAAAGAAAAACTATTAAATTGTACTATAAAATAAAAAAAATATTTCGGTTATAATTCAACATGTAAATACAGGGTACCCTGTATTTAACTGCAACTACGTTCAACTGAAGGATGGCAGTGACGGTTGAAGGTTTATTTGCTTTAGAAAAAAAAGTCATTTTGTCACGGTTTATACGAGTATCTACTGTATAGAACCATATTTCCTTCATAATAAAATGAGTAGTACTCTCTTGAGCAGAGCAATTGTTTTGGGCACAATAGACATATGCACTTTTTACATATTATGTTCAAAAGGAGATTTCAGACGGCCAAACTCTGGTGGTTTTCGATGATTTCCAAATATTGAAAAAAAAATATGGGTTGTTTCATACTAATGTACTTTAACCTCGGGATGTATTTATTTGCTAAGATGATTGGAAAAAAATTGTGAATCAGAGGGTTCATTTTAAATATTACCCGAAAATACAGAATAACAAAGGCAACATAACCCTAAAAACATGAGATTATTAAATCTTTGCTTTCCTGGTATAAACGCATTCACAGTTATTTTCATTTAGTGGGCCAATAAATTAACTATCAAAATTAGATAATAAATTATCGTAGATGATATTTATCAAAATTAGATGATATGTAGCATTTTCACATAAAATGATATATTTTTTTAAATCAAAGAAACCATATAGAATTTTTTTTTAAATTTAACTAACGTTTAAAACAAATTTATTTATTTTACTTCATGAAAATAAATTACATTTTTAAAACCCTCCGGCAAATACTTCTTCTTTAAGCAGTTTTTAAATTTCATCAAAATTTTAGTGAAAATATATATATGGTTGTACGATAAAGGTTAAAGGCTTTAACATGTTCAGGAATTTTACGAGACTTGCTGCAAGGGCCATTTTTAATAGGTAATAATACTTAATTACCTGTAGAACAATCTATACTTACATCATATATTTTCTTTAGCAATAACATAGTCCGGAATAAGTCAGATGATAAAAAGGGTTCTCCAATCATTAGTCCTTGTGGTGGTCTTGATAAGTACCAGGGTCGCATTGTAGAAGAACGTTTTTTTAACCATCAGGATATTGAGCTATTGAAAAAGATCCGTAATAATGGTATAACTCTTATAACCAAACAATGTGAAGCCATTGCAAAAAGTAAAGCAGAGTCTGCTGCAAAAACTATCTCCTCTAAAGTAATACGTGAGTCTTGTTGCAAAAGTAAATACAAAAATTCCAATGAGGAATCCTTTTTCATACGTGAAGTAAGTTTAGTTGCAAGTTGCTTAGTAGTATTAAATTTCTTATATATTGGTTATCATTTTACTTCGTTTAATTGCTTTGTAGAACAATTATTGCTATAATAAACTTCGGGAAAAACTTGAGAAGGAGAAAGCTAAGTCTGAACGTTTACAAACTGGAGAAGACTCACACGTTCCAACTTAAATCGTACAACAATTTGCATATCACATTCAACTTGATACCTGTTTGAATGTGAAGCTCATCCGTATTTTTTGTTTGTATTTTTGAACTATATAACCCTCAGATAGCATGATGCTTACATATTTTTTACATACTGATATAAAATGTTTTCGATCAGCATATATTTGAAATTAAATTTACAATAAATATGATATATTATAATACAAAAAAAAAATTTTATATAAAAATAATTCATTAGTAAAAGATCAGTATAGATATAAGTATACAAGTATATAGTATAAGGACTCTCAGTGTTTACACAAAATTTATTGTCAATTACAGTTTCACTTATATAATACTATATATACTACAAAATGACATTTTTTCATATATTACAACTTTTATTTACAACTTTTAAAATTAAAAAAATCATGCTTTCTTATAAATATATATGTATATTAATTGCAAATTATAAATTCGTTTTTTACATTATATCACATCTTATTTATTATTAAAATCTAATATTTTAAATTATAGACGATCGTTTTCATTTATGTAAAGTAATCTATGAGATAAATTTAGTATTTGATAAAAAGTTGTCAAAATAAGAGTTTCAATTATTTATTTTTTTATATTATTATCAAATACTATATAAATTCATTTTTTTTGTTAGGTTATGCTTGTTGGCTTTCGTGGATGTTCAAAAATATAGAATTTTCCATGTTCTTTATTTTGAATATCTTGTAGAACGTTCTGTTTACAAAGCACGGCAGTTAATTTAATCATTTACCGTTAATATTCATATAGTTCTAGTTTTAAAATTTTATTATATTTTGGGAAATAGAAAATATTTTTTATGTAGGTATTATAGGTATTAAAGAAGAAATTGAATAAAAAATCAAAAACGGTACTTACCTTTTATGTTAGAAAGCTTTGGTCATAATGTTGTAATAATAGGTAAATTAAAAGAATGCTATAAAATAACACAAAAAATTTAATAATTTGATGTCAATTTATAGTTGAAATAAAAACATGTATGAATATGATAAAAATTATATTATTAAAACAAAGTGTTAAAAGTCTTTACCTATAAAAAATTAATATTTTCACTTCAGCAGATAAATAATTTTCACAATAAAAATTTTTTTAAATTGATATATTATTAGGAATAATATGAAAAAGAAACACAAGATATAAAAAAGAAGCACTCGTAGTGAAAAAAAAAAATTAAAAGGCAAAAAATAACACTAACACATTTTTTTAACAATAAAACAAAAGCGTTTCCACGATAAAAAATTATTAGCACTTAATTTGGCAAGAAATAACCAAAACGAAAACAACAACAACACTTGACTCGGAACAACTATCATTATTTGCTTAGCTTTTTTTTTAAAGATCACTCGATGTTAAATAACTGACTAGAAAAGAAAGAAGTATCGGCCACGAATATAATTATATTTACACTAAATATTAAAAGGCTATCATTTAGTCATCAAAGCGCAAGTAAGTTAGGGAGAGAGAGAGAGCTTTGCTGTTACATATATATTTTTTTCTAAGATTTTACTTTAACTTATGTATGTAGCTTTGTACATGTATCGTCGATAGAGGACCAATTTTCCTTTCACTCCCCACATTGTTTTACTCTCTTTTTAGTTTCAATATCAATACAAAAAGTTTCCATTACCTTAATAGTCCCTAATAAAAGTTTTTTTAAAAATAATTTTTTTTTATTTTCTTTTCTCTCTGTGTTTATATGTACACAAGTAAGAGAGGGAGGTTCAATCAACTGTCTAATTTTTTGTTTACATATTACATATTTTACATATTTTACTTAATATATTCTTTTTTTAAGTTTGTGCTCAAACGTGTGTATGTAGTTTTGTACATACCTCGTTGGTGTAGGGTCAGTTTTCCTTTTACTCCCCAGGTTGTTTTACTTTCTTCTTAGCTTTTATATCAATGCAAAAAGTCTCCGTTACTTCAATGATCACAAATAAAAGTGTGTATGAAATTAATTTTTTTTTTATTTTCTTTTCTCTCTGCTAACACTTTAAGGCAATGTTGTTTTTGTTGGATTATTGTTTCCAGCTTTGTTGAAAGTTCACTGTTTTTTCTACGATTAGTTGCTCTTATTTAAGGCTTCACTGCAGAATGACAAATTTTTTGGTAAAGTGACTCTAAAATAATTAAATTTTTACAATTTATTAATTAAATTTATTAATAATTGTAATAATAAATTTATATTTATTACAATTTATTATTTATTTTAAAAAAATTATTGAAAAGTTGAAAAGTGGGAATTTAACAAAAGTTTGGTGTTGAAATTTTTAACAAAATATTGAGTGAATGGTGAATATGTGTATGTATATTTGTCTTAAAAAGCATCAAAATATGAGGCATAGTAAAAAAATGCTAGTTATAAATAGATAACATTAATTAAATATACAGTGAAATTTAAATATTAATTAATTATAATTATATATGTGATATTAGAAAAAAGAATAAAAAATAAAACATTCGTTTGTACGAAATTGAAAAACAGGGTCGGACTTAAAGAGTTTTGTATGAAAGGAAAGCTACATCTCTAGAAGCAGCGTCAAAAACATCACCTGCAGTAGACGACAGCAGCAATAAAAAATGCTTGCAACCGACGTCAAAGCAGTAAAAATCAAGTGAGTAAAAAATTCTAATACATTTTCTTCTTTGTATTTTTCTTTGAAAGCTATAGTATTGCCATATATATGTAGATTTTATTATTTAAAAGTTACTCCAACATTTCAAAAGAACGCCCATTAATGGTAGTAAGTTTTAGTCAATTTCAAATATTTTTCAAAAAAATAAATAAATCAATAACTGAAGAAACAGATGCACAGATACCAAACTATATTATTTTATAGTTTATTTCGGTGCTGAAGCGAAATAAACCGATATATTTTTTTTGGTTCGGTCCCGGTTTCCGTTCCAGCAAAAATATCGGTTATTTCCGGTTTTCGGTTCGGTTTCAGTTTGATGCCCTGGTTCTAAACGTCTTTCTATTTAATGAATCACTTTCTAATAAAACAATTAAATAGGAGAATCTAATACTCTACTCAATTGGTTGAATTAAAATAATTTTTTTTGCTTTGTTTTCTGCTTCGATGATATGATTTTACGGCAATTCCTTAATTACACATCTCTAGGGTAACCAATAATTTTGGGGAGCTAGTAAAATTTAATATTGACGAAATTTAGATCTGTATACTGCAATGACTGGATTGAATAGTGTTGTTAACAAAAATATTTGGAGAATCAGGTACCATGATAACTTATTACGTATATCAAACTTTTCAATGAAACTCATGAGTCAAACCAATCTATCAAGCAAACTTCATAAACGAATATATGCGCAAATCTGTATGTAAAGTATACGGATTTTATATTTTTAAAAATTTTTATTTCAATTAGGTAATATTTTTATAAATTTTATGAAAGATATAATGTCATAGAATATTTTTGGTTTTTTTACAATGGCCAATTTACGATTATTGTTTTTATATGCATTTCAAAAAATAATATAAATAAATTTGTATCTCAAAAATGTTAAATCTTGTATCTATAATCAATGAAATTAATTAAGTCCATAATATTTTTCTTAAGAGCTATTTTTTAGTAGTTGTGACATATATCATATCTATAGCTTTTTGTGTAATTTAACATGTAAAATATTTCCAAATAATTTTTATTCGGTATTTATGGCATCGACAATTTCAACCCTGTTTAATTATTGGTCAAATACCACACAAAGTTGAATTATTATTCGTTGTGTTACGCCTGTTCTAGGGTACCCTTCAAGTACATCATAATTTGTTGGACCAGATAAAAATAGTATTTCGATATATATATTATTTATATATATTATATTTCTGCTTTTCATTCAATACAATAAAGTATTATTTAGTGGATTTTCTTCATTAAAATTTTATACCGGATTAAAGTATTTTACTTAATTTTGTTTTGGGTTTGATCATTACAATTCTTTACACTAAAACCACCTCATGCATAATATGAAACTTTATTTTTATCAGTGAAAATTCGTTACGGGTAATATACCTAAAAGTCCATTTTATCATTAAATTTAATTCTGAACATTATTTGGTTTGCTCATCACCTCACTTTATTTTTGGCAGCTAAGCACTCCTGATAGAAATTAAAAATAATTGAATGAATATCCGGAATTCTAGTTAGAAATTCTAAATCCTTTCATTTTTCAGTTTATTTAAGTTTATTGAATGAACAAAAATCCTTACCTTAATCCAGTTCCAGTGCATTTCTGTTCTGTCAATTACAAACATGTTCATTAACTTCAAATATCAAAAAATACAGTGTATAAAGTACAAAATCCTCCATTTACCAACAATGTGTGTTTTTGGAACCGCAATTTCCGATATTAGGATATTGGTTTGCAAAGCTATTAGTAACATAACAAAAATTTCATATTGTTATACATTAAAAATTTTAAGCCAAATTAAAGAACCAGAGATTTCCAAAAACCTGTGTAATATAAAATAACAGAACAACTGGGCTCTGGGCTTGGGCGTAGGGGTTGTTTGCTGAAATGGAACTATTGTTCGAGGTTCACCAAAATTCATTTGAACGGTCGCTTGTGTCTTTGTGCCCGTTACCAAAATGGCTTAAAATATCTGAAATAATTACATTTGTTTTATTCGATTCAATTTAAATACATATTTGTTTATACGTAAACAGACACAAACGTTAATTACAATTGAAATTTGTGGTTGCAGCGGCTGAGTGGAATAAAAATCTAATTTCATTACGCGTCTATGCAGTAAATTTGGTCTGTTTTCCATGAATTAATCTGTGTGTTTGCGTTTCCAGTGGCAGAAAATGTGTGTTTTGCGTAATTGAAGTTTATTTTATGCAAAATTGCATACCTTAATTATTTATGCAGTTTAATTCTGAATTGATATTTAAAAAATCTTTGAAAAAAGTTCAAAAATTGCAGCAGCAAAATTGCAAATTTTTCATTTTCATATCCAATCAATTGCTGCGTGATGTCAAACCAGTGACGTGTGAATTTATCTGAATATCTTTTTTTATACCGTAAATGCTATGAAAAAAATGCATTAAGTCGCTTAACCCCTTAGCAATGACGATATAATACTGATAAAGATATTACTGACACTTTAAATACATTT